CCTCATTATGGCACCTGCTTCCGGAGTTGGTGAAGCTTTGTAAAGAATCAAGATGTCCTGAAAATTGTGCCATTTATATTTATTGTGATTCCTTTTAACTCCACCTGGCTGAGCCCTGTAGTTACTCATGTGACTACTAGTTGACACCCACGTCTCCCACTGGTCTCTGGGCTCCCTCAGGGTGGAACAGTGTCTTTCCTTTGTATTCCATCTCCCCAGCACCCAATATGGGGCCAGCATGTCACCAGCGCTAGGTGCATGCTTGTCAAGGCAAAATTTACTGCACTTATGCTTTAAGAAATCCCAGTTACTTGGGAGGTTTGAGCAGGAGGATCTCAAGTTCAAGGCCAGCCTCTGAAACTTAGTGAGGCCCTAAGTGAGTCGGTGAGGCTCTGTCTCTAAACAAAATACAAAAAGGGCTGAGGATGTGGTTCAGTGTTAAGCACCCCAGGGTTCAATCTGTGGTGCTTCAAAATGTGACCTTAGGAGACAGGTGTGCTCCTCAATCCTGGTAAGGGAACAGACAGGGCATTGAGCAAGGTGACACATGGAGAAAGAGCCACCAGAAGCCTTGGATCCAGGCCTGCGTGCCCCCTGTGCTGTCTCCTAATGGTCCCCTAATGTGTCTCCACTTGGCTTTGCTCTTCCTGCTGCCCTGGGCTGGGTTCTTGTCCATCCAAAGGTCCTCATTGAGCACCTACTATGTGCCAGGACTGAGACACAGACCCAGCCTCATGGGGAGATAGAGCCAGCACAAATAAATGAGAGGGAGCCCCTGTCACAGCCAAGCTTAGCTGAGCACCAGTTGCCTGTCGAAGTGCCTTACGGTTTTGTTTGTTTTGTGGTGCTGGGGATGGAACCCAGGGCTTCAGTCATGCCAGGCAAGTGCTCTACCCCTGAGTGACATCCCATCCCAAGGTGCCTTACTAATACTGTCTCATGTAGTCCCCAGAGCGACCCTCAGAGGTGGGCAGGTCTAATTCACATCCCGTTTCCCAAGTCTGGAAAACAAAGGCACAGAGAGGCAAATGAACCCCCCCAAGGCCCAACAGCAACCAAGAGGCAGAGGCTGGATTTGAACCAGTGTCATCCCAGCAGATCTCTGCAGGTCATCTTAATCCCTCTGCCCTTCCTCCCAGTCACCCAGGGGAGGAGCAGGTCACTAAAAGGACAGCGAGGTCAGAGGAGGGGCAGGAGAGGGATGAGGGGGAGTTTCTGGTCCCCTGTGCCCTGTGCCTGCGCCCCGTCGCGCCCACCTGCTTGAGCGTGAGGTTGAAGAAGGAGTCGTGGAAGTCCCACTGCAGGATGTCGCCGTGCGTCCGCGCCTCCAGCTCCAGCAGCCGGTTGACCTTGCGGGCCTCGTGCCGGTGGCCGGCGCTGCCCACGAGGAAGAGGCGCCGCAGCTGCGCGCCCCGCACCTGGCGCTCCTGTCCCCACGTGCGCCGCACCAGCTCCCGGCGCTCGTAGTTGCTGGGCGACGACTTGATGGCCAGGAGCAGGAACACGGGCTGCGCGCACTTGTCGGGCGACACGTCCTGCAGCAGCGGGAAGCTGCGACAGTGGCGGTACAGCAGGAAGTCGCGCACGTGCCGCGGCTGCCCCGCAAAGTCGGGGTGCGCGGTGGCGGAGGCGTTGGCGAGGCACGGGGC